AAATCTTTTCTTGAAAAGCAAAACATATTTTAAATGGGATTGTTCACATTTCGTGGTGAGCAATCAGCCTGCAGATTTTTTAAAAGAATTTAATACTAGTGTAGATGCCAGATACGGAGAAGAACTATGTGCAGGAATCTCATAAGCAAGCAGATTTCAGTCAGAAGAGGAAGGAAGGAAGGAGGGAAGGAGGGAAGGAACAGATCACAAGCCACCTGTATTACTTATTGTGCTGCACCTACTGTGTTGGGCTTTGGATTTTCAAATCAAGTCATCAGATCTAACAAGATCAAGATTGAATGTCTTTTAATCTCTTGATCCTGTGGGGAAAACTATAGGGTCATGCAGCTTTCCCTGTTGATTTAATCTGCCTAAACAATAGTTACAAATGCAGTTTGTATGCAATTTGTATGCAGTTTGTAGACCAAGTCCAAAGCCAAACGAAATGCTGAGACTTTTGTTAGCTTTGTACAGCAGTCTACAGGTGGAGCATAAGCAGGGGGTTCTCTTCTGATCTGTTTTCTCCCAATTGCATTTTTTTCAAAAGGAATGTGTGTCACCACCTCCAGGTCAAAACTGAGCAATTTCCTGACCTTAGCTGCGTAAACGACYAATCAGTAATTGGTACATGAGATTTTTCTGAATGGGTTTTCCATGGACATGAATATTGCAGGACGAAACCCAAGCATTTCCACCAACCTAGCAGTGAGAGCATAAGCTTTAAAGATCTCCTTCCTCTCACAAAGCACTATGAGGGCTAGAACTGGGCTCAGCTACTCTTAGCCCTCAAAAACTGTCTCTCTAGTCTAAGCCAAACCTCAGCCCTGCCTAAAATAGATGGGATGAATCACTTTGGAGCCTTCCATGGGCTCCAGGCTTGCCCACACTAAGTGTGCATGGAGCTTTTGGATGGCAAGTGACGTGAAACAAATCCTATTACCAATGCAGCACCACTGGGAATAAGCTGCTCCTAGTCCTGCTCTACCTGTTTGATCAGCTAAATGGCTGCAGGGATCGATTAATAGACAGATAAATGTATTAGAGCAGACAATATTTGTCCCTGCTCAGCCAGCTGGCTGGCTAAGTAGCAGTATTGATCCCATAAATAATGACATCCTTAAAAAAGCTAACGTTCCTCAAGCAGTAACAGTAAGTACAGGCCTAGAAAGATGAATTTCTCCAGCTGAATTCACTTCTTGGGAAAGCAGAGCAGCTGAATGATGCTGGCTTTCTGGCTCACTGCTCGCATCTTATTTATTTCTCTTAAATTGGTAAAATGAAGAGCGGAAAGGTATCAGCTCCCCACTCCTGTACTCTTTCCGAGTACTCTTTCCGAGTGCTCRTTGACTGCTCAAGGATTTGTATTTTTATCAACAAAATGTTGCACATCTGGACAMTGGAAGTAGGGACTTCCATGAAGCACTGAGCTATAAAGCACTCGTCCTACTGAACCGACACACCTCAGGTCCACCCAGGCTRAGGAAGACCCTGGGTGCCTAAATACAGATTTGGTGCCTTCTTTGAAACCCCCCTGCCTGGAATCTCTGCTTCCAGGATCCCCTGCTGCTCTTGGGAGCTGATGCTGATGAAAATGTGATGAAGTCCCTGCAAGCTTGAGAGCAGAGAGTTTTCTGATGACCCCTTTGTAGCTGTTGCTAAAAGCTTCACGCTGACTTGCTATAAAACCCATGGAAAGCTCAGGAATGGCCTCTTATTCAGCCCTGCTGCTTCTTCCCACCCAAATATACAAAATATATTGAAATCCCACTGTGAAATTCAGCAGGGAACAATCTGAACCAGGTTTTGATAGATATTATTTTATCATTGCAAGGAAAGGCTGCTTTTAACTGCTAGCATTAATGTATAGTTTATAAAACTCTGAGCTTCAGCTTTAGAGATATTTATTTACTTATTTATTTTTACTGCCATGCAACCAGAAACAGAACAGAAAATAGAGAAGAAAGAAGAAAGTTTCTAGAAAAGAAAGAAGGTAAGTCTCTTTTCTTTTAAGGTAAGGAATTAAAAAAGACTCTTTTTTTACAGTCTTTGAAGTAAGGACTGTACAACAGAGTCCCGGGCGGCTGGCTAGATTTACAGCAGGGTTTTTTCAATTTAATTTGTCATTACTGAATACATTACACTGGGATTAAACTGCAGGTTATTAAACACTGATTACGAGTTGAGAGGGCACTGCAGAAAGCAAATCACTTACAAGTTACTAAAATTTTGACTTGGAAAATGTTTTAATGGAATTAGTGCTAGTTAATGATTATGACCTGTTAAAATTACTGGAAAGGGAAATGAATAATCTCCTCACAATAGCTTTAGAAGGCAACAACAGCAACAAAAAGTATGCATTTTTTATTACATTTATTATTAAAGAGCTCCTTAAGCTCATTTTTACGCTGAAACACATCATTTTTTGCTGCTTCACTGAGTAAAATCAAACTGCAACAAAATTTTGGAGGATTCGTGATGCTTGATAAATAACACTCAAAAAATCATTTTGAAAATGAAGACTTAACTACTTTTCCTCATTTTTTGTCATGCTGCAGCAATAAAAAAAMCAAAATAGCCGCATGATCTTTGGTTAAGCCACCCGACCTAAAAGTCCTTCGAGCCTTGGTTCCTCTAAACAGTAATTATGTCAGATCATAAAACTAGCCCTACAGTGACGATAATAAAACTCTGATAATCAGAAACACTTGTGTGGAACTAGGTGTTTTATTTTAACTAAACACTTAATTTATTTTCATTTATTCCAATTCGTTCAGCCTAATTACTTAACCTATTAATTAAAGATTGCTGACACTGCATCTGAAGCCCTTGGTTATTATATTTACGTGAGAGCTAAAAGCAGCTTCCCCCAGCACGAATGAGCTGGGACACTGAAATCCAAACTGCTCCACTGGGAGAACCCCATGGAAGGGGCTGAGYTCTTCCTCCATGGGGAATTGCAGGGATTGGCAGTGCCCGGTCCATCCCGACATCTCTCCTGGAAGTTATACTTTCTGAAAAATGAAATAAAAATACACAGCAAGGCACAACCAGGAGCCATCTCGCTCCTGCTGCAGGTCCCACTGCATCCCACGCTGTGGGTTTGGGAGCAGCTCTGCTCCACACCAGCTTCCTCCCATCCAGCCCCCTCAGACCTGAGATTTTCGGGCTGAGATTTAGCCAGGCACAGAGCTGAATGAGATCACACCTGGGCCAGGGCCAGCCCCTAATGGCACGATAATGGATTTATTGGCTTTTTGAGAAGGAGCTGCTTGATTGCAGGGAGATGGAGTCAACAGCAGCTTCTCTCCTGCTAATCTCATTTTTCCAGAGTGTGCTGTGAGAGAAGAGGCTTCGTCACAAGGCTCTGCTTGAGTGCTCTGTGTAGCTGGGATTGCATTAGGAGCCCAGAAAGTATCTGAAAACAGCCCATGGGCCCCCAAACAGGACTGCTGCGTGGTGAATTACTTCTGCGGTATCAGACTTGCAGGAAGAGATAGTCCTGGCTTTCCAGCAAGTTGTTGGCTTGAATTTTCTCCATACAAGCACTTGGGAAGAGAATATGCATGGAGGAAAGGGAAAATTTCAGGATGCAAAAATAGCTCCTTTTTTTAACAAAAATGAACTATATTTTGAACACGCAGTTTGGAGACATGCAAATACAAGACATTTCTATGGTAAAGCGCTGCAGTGAACAAGCGCTGATTAGGTACTCTTGTCCATTTAAAATAATCTAATGCATTTATCTTAAAGAAAAAAGAAACCAGATGCGGAATGGGTGGAATTTGGCCTGGGTGAAGTTTGCCTTCATAAGGGAAGCACAAAGAGAAGCTGTGAATTGAATTGCAGGATGACTCGGTCCAACCAGGATCTGCCTCGTTGTCCAGGAAATGGTTGCTTTAAGAATCAGACTACRGCCAAATCTGGTTTAACAGCTCTTTATTTCAGTGCCTGTAACACAAAGGAAGGGCTTGCGTTTCGACACCGGAACCATGCAAAGCACCTACACGCAAAGAACACCACACTGAACTACACGTCTCTCTCCTGCTACATGTGGGAAGTTTAGGCAGGAAGACTCTGTCCTCCTTTGCATTCTGCTGCATCCTTCCACAAATCAAGCAGCTGCGAGAGGTGCTAAATAACCTTCATTCCCAACAAGGTAGTTTGCCACTGAACGGTATTTCACCTTGTGCTAAGTTGCTCAAATATGCTTCTGTAAACTGCATCGGGGACCCTGTTCTGCTCTTGTTCTACAGGGTTGAAATCCAGTATGTCTCCATATATAGGAACAGASTTTAATCAGAGGTATTAGATCACCACAGTTGTTCAAGAGCAGAATTTGGCCCAAAGGATGAATGTCTCCTCYGTACAGAGGCCAAAAAAAAGGCCCTGATAATGTCCCAGACAAGAGGGATGYAGAGATTACAGCACCCCTAGGCTCAGATTTGTCGTACGTACAGAGGATAACTAGACACCCTGAACTATTACAAACAGTGGTGTAGAAAAATAAAAGGCATAAAAACCCGAACCAAAAAGGTTCCAAATAAGGCATCAGCAGGTCCCAACTGGATACGCTCCCCTTACAAAATCATCCTCCCAGGGAGTAGGATTAATGCATTAGGATTGTACTCCTGCCCTCAACCACTGCACACCATGAGCAACCAGAAGGGTTCAAGTTCTGTTTAAAAAAAAAAAAAAAAAAAAAAAAAAAAAAAAAAAAAAAAAACAAAAATAACAATTGTCTTTTTTTGGTAAATATTTCTCAGAAAATAATAAAAACAAAGTGTTAAAGCAATTTGTTTAAACGATTCTTTAGAAAAAAAAAGACAATATTCCTGTAAAGTAAAAATATATAGAGAGAAATAGAATTTTTTTTTTGTTAAAAAAGAAAAAACAACCAGGACATTCAGCATGAGGGCAGCGGATTGGGCCCGTCTCTTCCTCTGTCTGCTGCAGCAGGCGCTGCTCGTTAAGGCAAAACGTGGGGCTGGCGGCGGCCGAGGGGCGGCCGCGCTCAGCGAGGCTGCCGCTCCCGCACGCTCACCGAGCCGTCCTGCATGCCGAAGTAAACCTGCTGGGCCATGTCGATGAAGAGCCCCGTCTCCACCACACCTGCAAGACAAGGTGTCACCCGTCGCTGCACGCCACGGCCACGCACAGCGGGACACCCCAAGGGCCGAGGAGAGGGGTCACGGCACCATCCGTTGTGGGGAGATAAGCAGGGGGGTTGGACTAGATGATCTCTAGATCCCTTCCAACCTCAACCGTTCTGTGATTCTGTGCTAAGGGCAGCATGCATGTGAGGACAAAGATTAAGGCACAGCACAGGGATTTCAATGGGAAGCCCCGTTGCCAGAGCCCAGTTGCCACATCCACTCTCTGAGTGCTCCTGAGCCCTCCTTGCCAAGCGATGATGCTCTTCTCCCCTTGGCAGGCCCATTTCTGAGAGCAAGCCAAGGAGACACAAGGAAACACAAGAAGTTCCGTCTCCAGGTGAGGAGCAACTTCTTTACTGTKAGGGTGACAGAGCAGTGGAACAGGCTGCCCAGGGAGGTTGTGGAGTCTCCTTCTCTGGAGGTCTTCAAAACCCGCCTGGATGCCACCCTGTGCCACATGCTCTAGGTGGGCCTGCTTGAGCAGGAAGGTTGGACTAGATGATCTGTAGAGGTCCCTTCCAACCTTAAATATTCTGTGAATCTGTGATTCTGTGAATCTGTGAGACCATCTCTGCATCAACATGATGGAGAGATGTTTCATCAGGGTCCTCTCAATGCTCCTCCAGACCAGTAGCAGYCATTGCTGGTTTTTTTGCATCTACTCCTTCCTAAGGTCTGAACCTGCCATCTACTGTTAGCTGCAAGCAAGTGCCAGGTAATTATTCAGACTAGTTAAACACCAGCACAAGCCAAGGTAGAAGCAACACCTCAGCAGGTGGATCTAGAGAGGGGAAAAAAAGAAAATGGGTAATTTTCAGCAAGTCAGCCTTATCACAAACATTGGATAGGAAGCCATGCCACCRCACAGGACCAGGCAGAAGTTACTGGTGACTCTTCACCTAACCTGTTCCCATGTCCTGTGCTTGGGCCTCAGGTTCTAATCGTGTGGCAAGGACGAGGTTTTGCCCCTTTGTGCAAACGCTGAGGTCTGTGCAGCAGAATCCATGCCCGTTCCTCAGCTTATGACACTGCACAGGCAGTGGACACAGGTAAAGGCGGGGTGTCCTGGGCACAGTTAAAGGGGGTGTCCTGTGGCCCTCAGGGCTGGTAGGTAGCAGGGATAAACAGGCAGCTTCCAAGGAAGATAAGAAGACTGAAAAGCCARGAAAGCCACATCTGGGAGCAGCCCAGAAAGGCAGGACTGAAGAGAAAAATTTGAGTTGAATTTGAGAGCTTTGTCCTGGTTTTCTGTAAGAAAGTTGCTGATTTGTGGGGTTTACTAAATAGCTAAAATTGATGTGATGGTGGTGGTGGAGAGAGACTTTGGCCAACAAGATTATTCAGTATCATCGTTAGACCCTCCAACACCAAGGCTGAGYGATCAGAGACCGAGACTGATGCATACCCATTAAAAACAAACCAATAAATAAATGAATTAGATTTTCACTTCCTGATGGTTAAGACTTSAAGTTCAGCATTTAAGATCTGGTCTCTGCAGCAGAACCTGCTCCCAGGGCATTTTAAAGCATTCACACAACCAGGTCAGGGCCTCAGTATCAAATATTGTCTTTGGATGACAGGAGGCACTGACACACTCCGCCAGGGAATTAGAAACTGCAGCTTCACTCAGTGCAATTCAGTTCTCAGAACCATTAACGACAGAGACATCTCAGGCCTTTTTCTAGAAAAAGCCCCTTAATCTGGGCTTCTTTTGTGCTCYTGAACAAAAGAGGCTGCCTTTTGTTTAGAAACACTTAATGTAACAGCCACTGTTTCTGTCTTGCATAGAAATAGCTACAACAATGTAGACATTTATGCAGCTATGGGCAGCAGCCACATTAAGATAAGTGTCACTCTCACAGCAAGGTGAACCTGGAGGCTACAGGACAGTAAAGAGACACAGAGCTCTGAACAGGCTCTAGAAAATAACCCAGAGCTWCCTTCCTCCTGCAGGGTCTACTAAAGAACCATTAAAAGTCCCTTCCCGAAAGAGCACAAGGACAGGAAGGCGGAGGACAGGAGTGATCTGTGTAGTGAAGACAGGGTTGTGGAGGCCCTGGGATCACCCCAGGCTTTCATCACCACATGGAAGTCCTGCTCGTGCACAGCTCATTCATCCTGTGCAGAGGAAGGCTCTCTTGGTCAGGGTTTTCTAGCATGGGCCAAGCCCCAGCCACCTCTCAGTTCCTACATTACCTGGTATCATTTTTATAGCTGTGTTCACTTCACTCCACTTATGCACGGTGTCAAACTTCCAGTCCAGGATGAAGTTCCCGTTGTCCGTGACCACAGGGCCCTGGGGAGCAGAGCCGTTATCTGCACTGTGAGCTCTGCTCTGCCCAGCACAGCAGGGGCTGTCCCAGCTTCTCCCTGGGCAGCAGTGGCACCGAGCAGGGCTTGCACCCACGCACCAGGYGAGACCTGCGTGCCAGAGCACAGCAGGAGACGTGTTCAGAGGGCTGGACTGGATGATCTCTAGAGATCCCTTCCCACCTTAACCATTCTGTGATTCTGTGTCCTGTGAGGAGGCAGCTCGTGCTGCACAGCACAGAGCCTCACAGGGGGACAGGCTCTCAGGTTGGGGTTTTTAAYGCATTAAAAACATTTTCTGGGTGATCGGGGGCACTTACAGCTTTGCTAACAGCCATGCGCAGCTCAGCAGCGCCTCCGAAGTTCTTGGTCAAGGTTCTAGAGACAGGGACGTAGGCCATGGGGATGACTTCAATAGGAATTCCCTTCTTCCAGTGCTCCCCGAGGCTCTTGGATTTTTTCCTGAGGACAAGGTTTGAGGTGGCATTAGCATCAGATATCACATTGCTAACAGCATTAACATAACATATTCTCTCTTGCAAACTGCTCAGGTGCTGGGGGACACTGCAGCTATTCATCTGCACACACGTGTAGGAGGAACAGGTTCAAAGCGTGAAGCTCAGCTCCCTCACAAACCTGTTTTGATGTGCACGAGCAGGACAGAAGTTAGCTTTTCTTCAGCCCTGGGATGTCTGCACAAAAGGGGAAATTTATTCAGTGCTGACAACTACTGAGCTCGGAAAGAGCAACATAATCACTTCCCCCCTTAACTCCTAGAACCACAAACACTGCTGACTCCTAAGCAGGTCTGCCAAGTTGATAATTAAAATAGCAAAGCTGACTTGCCGGGAGTCGGGCTCATTTCTACCTATTCTTGCTCTCTTTGACCATCTGGAAGGAAAATAACGTTGCAGCATAGGAGCATCTAAATTCTCCCCTGTGGAGGATCAAACAGGGTAGTGATATTTTACCTGTAATCAGCAATAACGATGAAGCATTTTGCATATCCTGCAACTATCTTCTCCTGAGTCAAGCAGCCACTGCAGAAAAAGGGAAGGATAATAAAGTATATTAGACTGCATATCAGTGTGCCCTGTGGCCTCAAAGGCCAGTTGCCTCTGTCCAGCTCTTCCTCCCCATCATTTCATCCACCTCATCCCTTACTACTATACACATTTTAGGCAGGAGTTACCTCCCACTGCAATCTTATGCATAGCTCCACACAAGATCATCTGAGATCCTCAGCACTACCTGAGAGATCCCTGCAGCTAGAAAAGGGAGCTCAGAAGCCTCCTGGCCCCCACGCAGAGAGCACGGCTCACCCGCCACCTTTGATAAGGTTGAGGTCACAGTCCACTTCRTCTGCACCATCGATGGCAACATCAAGCTGCAGGAAGAGGAAAGACTCGGTTGAGAAAGACGCACYGTGCGGCAGACACAGAGATGTCTCTGGTGCTGGGATCATCTCGAAACCAGCCTGAGATGAGAAGCTGTGGAACTACCTCTCCGGGACACAAGCCCCAGATAAACCACGGAGTTCTCCAGACAGGGCCGCTTTCCTGCCCCTGCACCCCTTACTCTGTGCTAGCCTGGGCACCACAAGCCACCCCTCAGTCCTGAGGCCAAACCTGTCAGTGAGACCTCCACTGCTGAGCAAAAAATCCCTTTCCCCCTCCACCTTAAGCTCCTTTTCCCTTAAGTTCAGCAGTGCTTAAACCACTGCCCTCAGGGGAGGAGAGAGGGCCTGATGCTCCAGCAAGGGAAGGTCAGCAGCAGGAGGAGGTTTCCCCTTACCTCTGGATGTCGGTCCAAGTCACTCAGTGTTAAGCCATTCTGCAGGATCAGCTGACGGGCCTGCACACCAAGAACAGAGCAAACACTGCTCAGCAGCAGAGCAAGCAAACGGGCTGTGTTATCCCCTAATTCCAACAGGGATGGGGTCTCTTTAGGGGAGCCAGATCTGTCTCCATTCTGAGCAGCAGAGCTGCATCCAGCAGCAGAAAAACCTAACAAGGAGAAAATGCTGTATCCACACTGGGTGATTGAACTAGAATGGTCAGATGGTCACAAGCACTCCTGAATCCAGGTCTCACCACATTAAATAACCAGAGGCCTTAGGAACTCTGCAGGGAATCACTAGTATCCAAATATAASGGTAAATACAGGATTTTGAGTTCTCTTTCATCCGTATCAACTGATAACACTGCTGCTAAAACAGACYTTCCGTTTTCCTTTGGCTGAAAAATGGGAGCAAGACAGCAAAGTACTTAAAATATGGGACAGAAATATGGGATTAATAGTGAAAATTATTGAGAGAATGGGGAAAAAAATAAAGAATGCCCTTATGAAAGAGTGTGGGAAGCCTCCTGAAACAGCCTCAGGGATCTGATCTGCTTATGCTGAAGTAGCTGTGTATTTCCCTATAGCGTGAAGACAGCACAAAGCACCCAGACCCAGAATTACCCTCCACCTGCCTCATCAGCTTAAATGAAAGTTCACACTTAACAAACCTTAAATTGGTTCAATTTCCAGCATTACAAATGGTCACAAATGAGACTCCCTCCTTGCACAACTCTGCCCAAGTCTAAACTTCCTCCCAYGCTTTAGCCGTTGCAGGAAACTGCAACTGCAGAAAAAGGATCAATTTATACCCCCAAATTTAACTCTCTGAACACTAACAAGGTCGACCATACATATGTATGGTGTCTGAGAAGACAGCAGATTATACTGAAAGCAACGAGATACAGTYTGAATCCTCTGCATGACTGTGGCACTTCCTAGCAGGCAGTTTGGGCCCCCAGGGGCTGTGGGCTCTTGCTCAGGCTGTGCACGACAAGAGCCCTAAGGAGGGCTCGCTAGAGAGAAAACAGACTCCTCTCAGTGGGTGCCCATGTAAGGAGCTTTCAGCAATAACCCAAGCTTACAGCAGGAATGAGAGGAGAGTAAAAGCCCCCTGAAAGCAATTCTTCCTTGCTAGCGACCTAAAGCAGCCATTTACACCTCTACATAGCGAAAATAAGATGCTGTTTTGCTGTTCTGAAAATGCTTCTCTTAGAATTGGTCGAGCTTCATTCAAGAGACTGCAAAAGTTACGAAGTGGCCCCTTGTCTGGAGGATTTTGGCTCACACATCTGCACGGGCCATCTCTGCCCTCTCACAGCAGTCATTTTGCATCATTGGTAAGAAACAGCTCACACAGCAGCAGAGCATCTCAACATTTCAGGGCTTTCTCCACATTCAGCACGAGACCTTTAGACATTTGTTTTCACTATCCCTTGTAAGACCTAGTAACTGAGATCAGGGGAGTTCTTTGCCAGTTTAAAGAGTACATGATAGGGGGATGGAGATCATTTTGGACAGATCAAAGATCCATAAAATGGAGTGCCAGTGAATCACAGAATGGTTGAGGTTGGAAGGGATCTCTAGAGATCATCYAGTCCAACCCCCTGCTCCAGCAGGGACACCCAGAGCACGGGGCACAGGGCGGCATCCAGGTGGGTTTGGAAGACCTCCAGGGAAGGAATCTCCCTGGGCAGCCTGTTCCAGGGCCCTGTCACCTTCACAGGGAAGAAGTTTTTCCTCACATGCAGATGGAACTGCCTGTGATTTAAGTTAATTCAATCTCTACTCACTACCCCTTGTGTCCTGGCCACCACTGAGAAGAGTTTAGCCCTATCCTCCTCCCTACATTCTCCCCTCAGGTACTTATGTGTGCAGTAGAAATACAGGTGAATAAAACTTTTTTTTTTTTTTTTAACTTTCTACCTTTTGCAGCAGTTTGTGGTATATATAGTTGTTTACAACAACTGGAGAAAGAGGGAAAACTCCCTCTCCCTCTGTACTCAAAGAACATCTGCAGGACAGGAAGGTGCTATATTTCCATAGGCTTTCAGGATAACTCGGGACATCCCCAGTGTAACATCTTGCTCAAAGCAGGGTCTGGTATGAGATCAGATCAAGTTGCTCATGCTGATTACACTCACGATAAAAAGAAAAGAAAAAGAAAATGTTTCAACAARGGTGCAATCCCAAGGTCCATAGCAGGACCCAGGAAAGGATGTGTCCAATTCCCAGGGTGGGACATTGCCACCTGGCTTCCAAACCCGGCCCTAAGGGGGACAGATGCACAGCTGCCCTTCCCAGCAYGTTCCCACCTCAGGGGACAGAGGAGGAGAGAGCAAAGTCATTTGCCCCACGGTACCGAAGCAGCTCAAAGGCTTCCTGAGCAGCCCTGGGTTTTCCCAACAAGTCTTCCTGCAAAATTCTCAGCAGCTAGTTAGGTATGAACTCATCCCTGCAAAAACTGCACAGCAAAGGAAAAGATTAAACCGATTTCTCTGTAGGAATTTCACATACAAGGCAGCTGAAACACTCTGTCCTCAGGTTTCCTCCTGAAAACACAGCTTGCTATTACTGCTTGCACCACGATTTTCAGAGCTTTCAGTGCCTGATCCCAAACCAAAGGAAACCAGGCTAAGCATCTCCAAAGAGTTCTGCCTTACAAGTCTGGCTGATCATGGTTAACAGCATCCTTGGGCAATCCAGTAGGATCTAGAGTAAGCCACACACCAGTGTTGGGACACGAGTGTTACTGCATGTTCAAAACGCACAACTCCCCTAGGACTACARCATCCAAGCACCTTGGGACAGGGAAAACCAGAATCAACGCTGCCAATTCATCCTGTGAACCCGCAGGCTGCAGCAGGATGAGTTTCCTGGTGCTTCCAGGTGATCCATAGAGCAGCGAGTCAGGCGGGAACCATCGCGGTTACCTCCTGCAGCCAGGAATAACACGGTCCCCTTGTTGTGACCAGGGACATGGACAAGCAGAGCGCTTACCTGGAAAGACGTGGGGATGCAGACAATTGTGAGGTTCTCCTCTTTAACCCGCTCAGCTGCAGGAAAAAAAAAATAAAGAAAAACAAGGCAGAAGCCTGAGTTTGTTCCCTGCAGAGGCAAAACGCAGCAAGTGTCACTTTAAGAAAGCTCAGCTCATACGAAGCCCTTTGAATCACGACAATTAATCGCTCAGTTTGCAAATAACTCACTGGGCACAACATGCAAGCAGGTGCCACCCTGCACAGGCTCTCGGGTCTCAGCCCAAGGGCCATTAACCTTTGCATCTCCAGCAACCACTGTGCCCTGTCAGCAGGTCAACGCCAGGAAAATCAGGCCCACTTCTCTCTCCATTAAACAGGTTTTGCCCWGTTCTCGGGAACAGAGGGCTAGAGCAGCTGTCTGAAAGGTTTTCTGGCTTGTTGCCTTGGGGACATCACATCCATTCATTTTAAAACATTTAAATATATGGCAGGGAAAGGAGTAATAAAATAAACTACGGTATTCCATTAAAGGGAAGGAAATATTTCCTCCCTCGGGTTAACCTCAAATGACTAAAATCTATTACTAAGGTATCATTACGGACCAAGTGTTATTTAAGTGAGTACAATATTAGGCATAAGTCAACAGCCCAAGGGTGTCGGCAACAGCCGTCTCGTGAGAACAAGCATGTGGACTACAGGCTTCAAGGCAACAGCACCAGTTGCAAGAGCTGAAGATGCCACGTTGGGGTTGTGCACAGTTACACCCAGGGCTAATGCATTCACAGGCATGAAAAGTCATGCTCCGTCGCCCGGAACGGGCTTTAAACGCTGCATTTATTTGGAAATTGGATCCAYGCTGAAGGCGGGAGCGGCCGAGTCGAACCCAGGAGGCCGAACGCCAGCTCGGCAGCRGAGCGGAGCCGAGCGCGGTGGCTCTGGGCACGACACCTCGACCAGCAAGCTCGCCCTGAAGCTCCAAGCGCCCTTCGGGAGCCTGCGGAGGGGAAATTCATCCATRTGCCTCATTAGGGAGAGCACAGAGGTTTAATTAGCCTCACAGCCACTCTCCAAAAATGCATCTGTCTTTCTTTAATATTTTGCAAGGAGGGAGATACTTTCTGAATTACACTGTGAGCACAACAGGCATCCCAGGCACATGCAGCAGCCTTGCCACCAGGCATAACAAAACTACAGCGGGATGCAATATCCCTCTTTCCATTACACCCCAGCAGGACCCTTGGCGTGAGTAATATGGGATGCGGAGAGGCAGCATCAGCCCCATGCAAACGGGTTAACGGAAGCGGAGCAGCTGCACGGCCTGGAGCCACCGAGCAAGTCAGGACAGGCAGAGCTGGAACTGACAGAGGGTTTTTAGCTCCAGTTTGGGGTGGATGCCAGTAAATTGCATTGCTGATTTGTTAGGGGGAGAGCAGGTGTCAAAACACAACCCTGTTGTATAAAGCTGAGGAAAAATTAACTCCTCAGGACTCTCTATGCAATAAATCGGAGCCTAAGTCCCTGTTTTAACTTTCAGCTTCATGCACACACAGCGAGTGAAAACACCAAAAGCCAAGGCACCAGGTCCTCATGTTGGCAATTTAGGCCTAGTTTTCACTCAGTTGGGGTGGCTGGACAGGGGGATTTTCTGCTGTGGAAGCGACAGGAAGGAGAGCACCCTACCTAATCGATGCACCGCATGCACAATCGTGGAACCGCTCCCGATGCCGAGGACTTGGTTGTTCTGGAAATCAGAGAGACAGGAGAGAGCTCTTATGGGGGGCTCGATCTCTTCTGCTTTTCCCAACAGACTCTACGAGAAGAGTCTCCTGAGACCTTGCCCAGAGGTACCCTGGATCCCAATGTATTTGCACGCCAGATAAGAAAGAGACGTGCTGCTCCAGCAAGGGCAGAACTACTTCCTATTTTAGCTGGGCTTGCTAAGGGATTTTAAGCAACTCGCCCACCCCTTATAGGACACGTGCTTATTAATTACTGCTACAGCCCAAGCTCTCCACAGGCCGTTCAACGTATGCTTCCTGCTTGCTACCAACACAGGAAGTCAGAATTGCAGCTAATCCTTGAGGGAGCAGGAAAAGTTCAGCTCAAGGGGCCTAACTTTCCTCCCCCACAAAGGCTTAGTGCAGAGGAAGCCTGGGCAACACTTCCCACATCCCCAAGCATGCAGGGGCAGCGCCTCGGAGCTCGGCCTATGGACACTTCCCCACAGAAACGGATCCCCCTTGGAAAGGGGCAGCCCAGGTCATGAGCCTGGCTCCGGTGCAGGCCGAGGGTTTCCTTCTGGAAGCAGGAGAGCAGCAGGCCCTCACGCAGGAAAGCTGGAAGCTCCAGACGATCCCGCAGAGCGGGAAGCTGGAACAGCGCCGCGATAATATCTCCCACGGAGGCTGTGCAGGAAAAGCTCCCGTTCGCTGCCAGCGGGTTTGTTAATAAACACAGTTGTGGCCGCAGCAGCCAGGGCAAAACAGAGCCTGTGGCTGCTGCCACGAGCGCCTYGGAACGCCCTGGGAAGGGGAGCAAGCAGCACGTGCCGGAGAGGATGGTTATTTTAACCACGGCTCAGCCCCGCACCTCCTCTGCCTCGGGCTCAGAGGGGATCACGGGAGTTTCATGCGCGGTGCAGGAGGACCTCTAAGACCAGCCGAAGGCAGAAGGTGAAACTGCATTAGATGTAGATCACAGCATGTGCTCCCTCCCTCAACACCAACCACCAAGAAATACCTCTCTCACATTGCTGATTTACAGCATGTTGGCCTCTTCTCTGCATGGCATCCAAAGCCAAAACTTTCTAGAAGCGGCACAAYAGCACTAAAAAGAACTTGGATGCAATATCACTAAAGAGAACTTGGACACAATACCACTAAAGAGAACTTGGACTCAGCCACAGATTCAGTCTATTCATCAGACAAGTCGGGAGCTCTCTCCTTGCCCAACAAATCCACAGTTTGGCAGCTCTGCACAAAGCCACGTCCAGAGCATCTCAGTGGGTTACAAGCCTGCTTAGTAAGGTGGAGCTCACATCAGGTCACTCTCCCCTAGGGCTGGTGATGCCTTTCACTTCCGCACGTTAAAAGTGTAAAAAGACAAAGCTCCATATCCAGTATGAAACCAGGGCCTCGTGTTATTCTCTGGCCCTTCCTAACCACTGTAAGTCTGCAAAAGAGGGAAAAGCAGCAGACCCCAGCCGTGACTGCAAGGCTGCCAGCAGCACTGCAACACAGGAGAGCCCGAACACGGCTCTCAGGTTTCCTTGGCTGCCTCTCCCCGGTCACAACTGAGCAGCTGTAAGGGACAGGGACGAGCGAAGCCAATGGGGCTAGAAATACCCCCTTGTGCCCAAAGGCTTATTTTGCCCTCGGAAGCAGCAGTTTCATCTCTTTGCCCTCATTTCAAGGGTGTGGGACAGCTTCTTGGAGCAGCCTGGTGCCCTGAGGGACGGTAAAAGCCTTGACAACTGCAGCTTCATTATAATAGAGAGGAAGTGCTCGCCAAGCCACCAGCCCACCAAGCCACCAGCCCATTGATGGCAATAAGCTCCAGGCTTTTATCACTGCTGAGGGACAAAACCTCCTCCCTTAGGCAGGGGCAGCACCTTGGGCCAAGCTGGTTTCCCAGAACAAGCGGTTAGACCAGTCCAGACTGGTGCTATCACAATCCCAGCCTCTCCTATCACCACTACCATCTCTCCCCCTRCCCAGAGCACAGTCAAAACTGGCCCCAAATCACCTGCTTTCAGAAACAGGTGACCTTGCACTCTCCTTCCCACCAGTGCTCCGTGTGCAAGGGGCAGGTCCTGCTCACCCCGCCAGGGACAACACCCAAGAAATGGCACTTCAGAGAGCTCAGGAGAACCTCGCTGAACGAAACAGGGGGCACGTGGCCACGATGCGGCTCGGTACAGTGCTCGTGCAGACCACGAGCAGGGCCAACAGCGACCAGAGCGTTTCCTCCGAGCCTGCCCTGGAGGTGAGAGATGGAACCTGAGCTACAGACCCCAACAAGTGCCTTCTGGCAAAGCCGCATGGGCCCGAAGTCAAAAGCACTTCAACATAAACTTCCAAAAACTCAGGGAGAGCCATGTTTTTCCAAAGCCCGAAACTAGGATTTATATAAGCAAACAGCAAGAAAGAAAGAAAGCACAAAGKCCAAAAAGTTCCTTCTTATTGACCAGCAGTCCTGTGCAGCAGCAGGATGGCAGGACCTTCTCTCTCACCTCATCTTTTCCCTTCTAACAGAGAAGTTGAGAGGACTGCCACAGAGCTCGGCCATGAGAGGTGCTGTGCACCAGCAAAGCCAGCTCGAAGCAGCTTACGGCTCTAAAGCCCTGATCCTTGTGCTCTCCACACACTCGATCACGCTGAACTGGAGGACAAACCTTGATTTCAAAGCCTGTTCACGGCCAGGGTCTGCTCAGGATACCCCTGCTCCGTACTGCAGGGCTCTGGTCTCACAAGAGCACTGGGGCAAGTGCTGTGGACCAACCTGGCTTTAATTAGGAATGGTATAAAAATGCCACAGGTTGACAGCAAAGGAAAGAAGGTTTGTGTGCTGCTGCCGGGAGCAGGAAGGCTCCGAGTCCTGCAGGAGCAGGACACCTCCTGAAAGATCTGTCCAGCACAACTCAACCCCAGCTTGGCAGGGTCTTGCGCACAGCCCTGCAAGGCAAGGGAAAAGAGGAGCGGGCAGCTGCGTTTTACAGCATTACACAACTCTCTGCACCAACAGCAACAGTTCAGTGGCCAACCGCRTAACTGCCCTTTGCAAAGGGCAACCCTACCCTCCCGAGAGCAGAGGGCCAAGCAGACTTTCTCTACCAGCTGAGACCACTCAACTCCTTTGCAGTGACTCCAAGCATTTCTCCATAGCTGCTTCAAGCCCATATTGCCCCATCACSAGCTATTTCACTTCATCAGCGTTATTAGCCAGACCCTGAACTTTAACCAGCTGGAACAAGGCCAGGAGCAGCACACTAAGTTTTGAGCAGGCACACAAAAATAATAAAAAAAAAAGCTCAAAGGCCAACTTTTCACCAGAAAAAGCGCAGAGCTAAGAGCCACGCTTTACCCGGCCATGCAGTTGCCACAGACCGGTGCGGCCGGCGCCCCTCAAGCCGCTCCTTCCTCTTGCCCACTGCCACCCCGCGACGCCGGGGCCGGGCTCCGCCAAGGACGGCGTCGCACAAGCGCCATGGGGCTGCCAACCACCTCGTGCAAAACGTGGGAGCGCGCCGGGGGTGTGGGGAGCCGGGGAGAGGCGGCGAGGGGCGCCCGGGTGCGGGCAGCGGGTGCCAGGGAGAGGGGCCGCCGCGCGGGAGCCGTCCCGCCGCGCGGGACACAGCCCGGGCGGGAAGGCGGCAGGGAAGGGCAGTTCCTCCCGCTGAGTGCGGACACCCCGCTCCGCAGCGGGGCGTTTTGAGGCGCCGTTCGGGGCGACGCCGCCGCGTGGAGGAGAAATAACCCGTTTTGAGCGCGTGTTTCCACCCTCGCGGCGGAGGCTGCTCACCTGGACGTGCTTGTCCACGGCGGCGCACGCCGCGAGCCGCTTGGCCTCCTCGGCCATGGTGCGGCCGGGCCGCCCGCGGGCCGCCGCCGCCGCTGCCGCCGCCGCCGCCGCGCGGGGCCTGCCCGGCGGGCGCGCTGCCCCCCGCGCCGAGGTGCGCAGCGGGCCGGGCCGGCCGGGGAGCCGCATCGCCGCCCGGCCCGCCCCCGCGGGGCTCTCCCGTGCGGGCCGAGGGATGGAGGCCGCGGACGGAGCCCGCCCTGCCGCCGCTAACCGCCCCTGCCTCCGCCTCCCGCCGCCGGGGCCGCCTGGGAGTTGTAGTGCGCGCGCTTGGCCCAGCCCAGCCCGGCCCGGCCCGGCCCGGCGCGGCTCCGACCGGCCCCGCGCGGCTCGGAGCAGCCCAGAGCGCCCGGCCGGCTCCGTTCGCCCCGGCCCAACCCCACCGCGCTTGGCCCGGCCCCGTTCACCTCAGATCAGTTCAGCCTAACTAGGCTCAGTTCAACTCAGCCTGACTTAACTTGGTCAGACCCAGCCCAGCTCGGCGCAGCTCAGCTCCAGGGCGGTCTTGCTGGAGCTGGTTATTTAGTCTGCACCAGAGCAGGCCGGGGGGGCCTCATGGCTCTGTGCAAGCACCTGAGAGGAGGGTGTAGTGAGGCTCTTTTCTCCAGAATAACTACGGACAAGGGAAACTGGCCTCAAGTTGCGCCAGGGGAGGTTCAGGTCAGGTATCAGGAAAAATTTCCACAAGGAAAGAGCAGTCCGGCGTTGGAAYAGGCTGCGCAGGGAAGCGGGGGAGTCTCTGTCCCTGGTCGTGTTGAGGAAACATATCGATGAGGCCGCTGCGGACACGGGTTAGCAGGCACGGCGTTGAGGGGCACCCTCACGGCATTGAGGGGCTTGCTCAATGATCTGAGGTCTTTTCCAACCATAATGATCCCACGATTCCCACACCAAGGGGCCGGGCTTGGCTGCTCCCCAAACACGTTGGTCCTCAGACCACAATGGCACCGGCCACAGCTGAAYGCAGCTTATCTGGGCCTGCAGCAGGGCCGCTGTCCAGCCGAGCCGGCTTGTCAGCCGGAGCACAGAGCCCCTTTCCCTTCCTGTTTTATCTTTTCCCCTGTAGCCGTTGGGACCATCCCTGAGAGAGTAACAGGGAGAGAGGTTGGCCTCAAGTCCCTCCACAGCAGTGCATTCCCCCCAGGAGCTCAGCCAAGACCACACTGCACCATCTCAGCCTGCAGCAGCCCCTCCAAGATCCATGGGAATCACAGAAATTTACCGCTGACATCGTGCTGAAGGTCACGGGGAGCTGAGAACAATTTTTAACAATATTTATTTGCACGAGAGACCTGTTGGTGCTGGGTTTTTTTCAGTTCCATGCATGACCAACTGCTTTGCTGCCAATCTCTGCAGTTCCACTGTGGTTTCTAAGGGCTAGAAACGATCCTTTCTGCTCTGGGCAAACAAACCGGCCTCTGCACAACAGGGTGCTCCTCAAACAAAGGCTCTATTGTCACCACCCGGGCAGTATCTGAGCAATCAAGGCCTCACCTCGCTGTCCGAGCAGGTGACTTGCTGTTAAGAGCATGTGATGACTATGCAGAACTATTTGGCATTTTCTGGTAGCTRGTAACGATCTTTCCTGCAAATTACACACTTTGAAGTGTAAACATGCGATTACTGAAACCTGTATTTCCCAAAGACTCATCCAAAAGGACTAGATTCTTCCAAAATGCACTAACATCGGACCTGAAGGTCACCAGGTTTGGGGCTACTCCTTTCATCACCCTCATGTTTGACTGGGAAATAAGCAGTTGTGAGGGGGTTGCACCGATCAGGAAACCCATCCTTCCATGAGAGCTTTACATGGRTGTTATTTAACATGAGTTACATACATGTGAGAGTTTTTACTCGCATATATGTAATGAGCACTGAAGTTAAGTACAACTCCACAAACCTGTTTGCAATCTCACAGGGAGCACTGGCTGCTTTGCCTTGAGGCCCATCTCTTGTGGTGAGCGCGCCCGGAGGAACACAAACATTTCCACTTGCAGATAACACCGTTCCCTGACAGCGTTTTCTCCGAAATCTGCCGTTTCAGAGAAGRCAGGCAAATCTTGCGCAGAATATTTCATTTATGGTGTGCTGGGAATTGCACACAAGGAAGGGGCAGTTTTAGAAGTGAATTTTCCTCAGGTTTTGGTGGCAGCCGGCTCTACTAGCAAATGGCTCAAAGTCCTTTGGTACACGGCTGTGTTTGCCATGCTGGAAGCAAACTCGGCTTCAGCGCCGAGGGAGGCGTTTGAACCTGCTCTGTTTGAAGAGGCATTTTCTTGTCAAACAGGGTGGGAAGTGCTAGACTTGATCCCTAACAAAACACCACCCTGGCGAGGAGRGTTGCTTGGACCACAAGCCCTGTCAGCGTGGCTGTGTGATCCTGGGGACTCAGTTCTGCACCCAAGGCTGAAATTGCACGTGAGGAAATTACCCAGTAGCTGAGGTAAGAGCTCGGTGCTGTCAAAACCAGAAGATCCTCTTCCTTGCTGTCCTCCTCTGAGCCTGTGCTGAGCTAACAGCTCGCCTTGGTGCACGGGCAAAGACAGCGGTTCCTTCTCGCCAGATGAGGGAGTTGAACTGGCTCGGACAAACTTTACATATCCCTCTGAAGAAGAGCTGCATATCTGGCCTAAGCTGCTCTCGTCCAAAGGAACAAATGCCCACACTGGTGATTTTTCCGAAAGGCAAAGCAACCCAAAAAATCAAGGTCAATACTCCTGGCCTTGTGCAAGTCTGAAGAAGGTGGCAGTTGGCGGCGGGATTGCTGTAAGACATCAGGCTTAGCCCATCTTAAACCTGTTGTGACAGCTCACGCTAACCTGAGTTAGTCCCTGGCTGTCAGACCTGTTTATCCGACGTCCCTCTTGTTTTTGGCAATGGCACAAAACAGGTAGAAGTCCAAAAGGCCCAGGGAAGTAAAACTTCATCGACACAGCAGGGAAACTAAGTGAAAGGAAGAGTGTTTCAAAGCATTTCTGGCTCATTTTGCAGATAAACTGTATTTCCAGTTGGCAGTAACTCTCCAAGCCTGTTCTTCTAATCGTGCCTCAGCAAATACATCCTTGCTACCTCATTTTTTATCCTGCAAACTGCAGCTCAGCGACATTTCAGCTGGATAGCACCTACTTCTTGTCTCTGCTGGGATCCTGTGGAAGTGCTTGGTTTTCCAGGGGGGYCAAACTCTTCTCAGCGGTGACCAGTGACAGGACAAGGGGCAATGGGTACAAGTTGAAACCCAGGCAGTTCCATCTCCAGGTGAGGAAGAACTTCTTTACTGGGAGGGTGAGAGAGCCCTGAAACAGGCTGCCCAGRGAGGYTGTGGAGTCTCCTCTGGAGATCTTCCCAAACCTGCCTGGATGGCGCCCTSTGCCCCGTGCTCTGGGTGTCCCTGCTGGAGCGGGAAGGTTGGACTAGATGATCTCTAGAGGTCCCTTCCAACCTCAACCATTCTGTGGTTCTCTTTCATTCTGCCAAAGAAACGAAACGAGCAGGGGTGCTGGTAAATCACTTCCCGTGTGTGCAGCTTTTGGGCAGCCTGAATTTTCATCCTCCAGGGCCTTTCGATGGCCTTGGATAGGGCAGCCACAAGGTGGCACGATGGGCTCTCGCTGCGGCAGCACCRGGAGCAGGTTCTTCAAGCGAGCTGGCCGCTGGTACACCGAGTTACGTAAAACAYCATCCACGTGTGTTTTGCAAGGCATCCTGCAAGCACTGGCTTTGATTTCCTGCGAAATGGCTGGTCGGATTTTATGTTATTGTCATATGACCGAAATAGATCCCTTGTGTCAGTCAGTATGAACAGAATGGAGTGTGTGAGTCATGCTCTGCAAAGTGCAGGAAGTTTGGGGTTGTTGGCACCAGTTTTTCAATACAGAGAGGAAATCGTACAGTGCTCATTTGTGAAGAACTAAGTTTCCAAAAGGAAAAGTGGCAGCTCTTGCATCCTGGTAATCGTCATTCCTYCGGCTGCAGTGCTAAGGAACAGGGACCAGGAGCAACTTTGAAGAATRTATGGGCTCCCCTGAAAGCTGCTGACAGCCACTGAAAAATAAAAGGCAGCATTTGTCRGACTGCCGATCTGCGGAAGGGGAGTGGGAGGAAAAACAAGAGTTAACCCTCATGCGTGTGGTAAGAACACTTTCACAAGGCGTTTTGTGTTTTGCGTTAAGTGTAATAAACAGTCATGGAGCAGGACACATGTAGAAGCTCATGAGTTACCCAGATATTCCAAAACTTGCTGTGGTTATTGAGTGTCTGCCCCCGAGCCCCTCAAATGAGTGGCAGTTCCTGCAAGAAGCATCGCACAGGGCTGGATTTGCTRCACGAGCGCTATAAAACAGAGTTCAGACTGTAAATACATTGGAGCTCCCCTTGGACGCGGCTGTTCGCAGCAGTGCTGCGCAGGGAATATTAATTTAAGTGGGAACAGGTGCTGGGGAGGGCTGGTGAGACGAAGGGGGAGCYGGGAGCCAAAAGCACAAGGAAGGAAGAAAAGTCCTTGGCTTGGTTTGCTCGCGGAACAGAAGGGCTGCGATCGCCGCTGATAAACACGACGGGGCAAGCACTCGAGAGACAGCGGAGCTCTCTAAATAAAGCAAATATTAGCACCAGACCATATGGATATAATAAAAAAAAAAAAAAAGTCACTTAAGTTACTAAAAATGACAGCTTTCTAACACGAGCTGCTTGGCGTGCGGCACAAGGTAAACTCTTGTGGACTTCATTGCAATGAATGAAGCCAAGGAAAATCTGTGGCCTGTGTGTAAATGGGAGGGAAAAAATGTAGATAGGAGTCTACAAATGGCAATTCAGAGGAGTTAAAAAAAGAGCTCAATGAGGGGTGTGAGCACCARTCCCAAAACTCACTAAAAGAAACACTTTGGCTAGTCCCATTTTAATGGTGGGGTGGAGAATAATTAAAAAAAAAAAAAAAGGAGTCAAAATGCAGAAAAGGGGCAAAGGCGCAGCTGTTGCCTAGAGGCAATAAGTTATCAGAGGCAAAGCAAGGTTATAGAAGTACAGATCAGAAATCCGYAACCGGCAAGGCTGTGCCCAGCAAACTGCGTGCAGACCCCACGAACCACACGCGAGGGCGCCGCTGAGGGCGCGGGCAGTGAACCCTGGTGCCC